ATGTGTCTGTCTCCACGTCTGGCAACAAATACAATCATAAATAAAAATGATTATGATACATTTTTAGCGACGACGACGATGATGATGATGATAATGTTGATGATGATAATGTTGATGATGATAATGTTGATGATGATGGTGTTGATGTTGATTGTGGCTAAAGTTGAAGCATTTTGCGCGTGCGCAACTGAGGCAGGAATAATAAGTAAAATATAAAGACATAAATATATATATATATATATATACATATATATGTATGTATATATATCTGTATATAAAAAGCTACGTTGCTGACATTCTAAAGATCGCCGAGCGCAAGTCAGAGTCGGAGTCGCTTGACAAAAGGAATGCGCCGCGCTGTTGCACGTTTCACTAACAGCAACAGCAGCAACAGCAACAGCAGCAACAGCAACAGCAAAAACTATGCCACATTGCACATACTAGCCGCTTATGCACCTTCTACAATACAGCTGGCAAGCAGGCCTTAATAGCTCATTTTTTTCGGGCTCTTGTTGCAAGTAGAAACAGATATGAAGGCTCAAGTCGAAGAGAGAGAGAGAGAGAGACAGAGCTCGACGCGTAGATACCCTCAGTATCAAAGTTTGTGTGTGTGTGTGTGTGTGTGTGTGTGTGTAGAAAATATCGTTACACATAAAAGTGCAATAAAAATAAATAGATAATTGTAAACCGATCTTGATGACATTTTCTACAGCTAATTTGCATAATGTCAACGAATATAGAGCGCCAATTAGGCAGATATATCCTTAAACATTTTGTATTATTATTGGTAATCGATTTGTATCGATATATTCGCTAAACGAGCGCATTTATCGATAAACGTTTGCAAATTTGAAAAGTATTTGAGTTGGAGATAGACAAATGTTGATCTGGAATATATATGCTTGCATATACTATTATATGCCTAGGCACAACTGCAGCATACCCCACTTCTTGCATTTTTTTTGTCAGTGTATGAAAAACAGAGAGAAGTTATTTCATTATCGTGCCGTGACAATCAGTCAACGGCTGCGTTTTCGACGCGTTTTTTGAGCGGCTGCCTTCGGTTTTTCGGTTCGGTTCGTTTCGTTTCGTTTCGTTTGGTTTCATTTGGTTTTGGTTTTGGTTTGGTTTCGTTTTGGACGTCGTCACGTTGTTGTACTTGGGTGTTAGCAATGCTGTTGAACATGACCAGGCCAGCCCAAGTCAGGCCAGGCCGGGACAGGCCGGGACAGGCCAGGCCGCAGCAGAACCGAGGCCAGGTCCAAGCCATGAGTAATATTTGTTTAACAACAACAACAACAGCAAGAGCAACAACAACAACAACAACAAAAAGAACAACAATAGCAACGCCCTTTTTTGTCGGGCCGCCCGCACCGAGTTAGCCCATTAGCAAGTTTTCAGCGCCGGCCGCATTTCGATTTGTTTACGGCCGCAAGTTTTTTTTTGTTTACTCGTATATTTTATATATTTCATTTGCGTTCTCGAGCTGAGTTCATAAAGAAAAGGGTGCTGGCTCAGGCATATCGGCTATTAGCCAATCCGTGTGACACTCGTCACAAATCACAATGAATGAGGGCCTTGAGCACAAATCGGTGAATTGACGGCAAAGAAAAACACTTCAGCTTTTCAATCGAACCAAACGTTTAAGAATGCTGCCATAAGGAATACTGAATACCCTCTCGAAAGAGACAGAAAGAGAGACAGAGAGAGAGAGAGAGAGAGAGAGAGAGAGAGAGAGTGAATAGAAGTAAAAGAGTAGAGAGCAATTCTTGAAGCACAAGTTAGTTGATAATGCCAGTTTCGATGGGGATCATTCAAAGTTAAGCGATCTAAAACGTTTAAGAAAGCACTCGTTTTCTCTCTCTCTCTCTCTCTTTTTCTCTCTTTCCCTTTCTCTCACTCTCTTTCCCTCTCTCTCTCTCTCTCTCTTTGTATACTTGTTTCAGCTTACAACTCATAATTTCCGATATTTTCCATTTTTGATTTAAGTTTAGCAAACGATTTCTTAATTTTATAATTTTTTTAATTATTTATTCGAGCACACTTTCTTGCTTATTTATCGATTAGGGTATTTGCCAGTCTAATAAAATGCATAAACAATTTTTTTTTGTTTAGTTTCGTTTTGTTTTCAATGACTTTTGGACGCCAGTTGATTTGTGGCAAAGTTTCACGTAACACCCGCACTTTTTGGCAGGGGGTGAGGGGGAGGAGGGAAGTGGAGGCTTTAGTGCAGCTGTTGTAATTGTTGTTGTTGTTGCTGTTATTGTTGCTGTTATTGTTGCTGGTGGCATTTTTCAAATTTGCGCATTTGTCTGCGCTTTGCATTATTTCCGCAGCACCCAAGAAAATTATTTATTTATTTGGATTTTTTTTCCAGTTTTATTTTACATGTTCTTTTTTTTGTGTCGTTTTGTTTTTTGGGTCAGATTTTTGCTGGTCGAGTGTTTTTGTTGTTGTTGTTGTTGTTGCTGTTTTATCTAAGCAGCAACCATAACAATGGACAACCCAATCTTTAGGCAAAAGACAAAAAAGTTCAGAGTTCGATGGAAACAAAAAACTATTACAAAGCTCGTTGGGCATAAATTGCTTGAATAGCAAAGAGCAATATTCATGGCCGATTGGCCGATATGCTCCATGAGCTAAATTATCGTTAAACTATGTGTAATATTTGTATTAATTATATTTAAACTATTTGTATTTCTTTTATTTTTACTTCAAGCTGTTTTAAATCAGACAATCTCAACAGATTTATTGCTTGTTGATATTGTTTATTGTCATTTCCAAATACAAATCATTTGCATTTGTCATTTACATTTATATTTAATCAAAACATAAATCGATATTTACATATAATTAATATTATTAAAAACATTATTGTTGTTTTATCATCAAAAATGATTGAAAATAGAATTTTTGGATGTTGGCTAGTTTCTGTTGTTATCAGTTAGGTTGTCTTGTTAGTCATTTAAATACATTTAAATAAAAGAAAATACATAAAAAATTGCAAATGAATTTTTGCATAAAATGCAATTTTTCGTTCAAATATTTGGCATCATTTTGAGTTATAAACAGTTTAAATATTTATATATATATAAATTTATATATATATATATATATATATATATATATATATGTGTGTGTATTTATTCCCATTGGAATTGTGCCGTTATTGTCGTTGATTTTACCTTTGCCGTGTAACAGTAATCTACTTGCAGGCTAGCAAATATGTTGCGCCACGTTCGTTGCTTAAGTCTTTTGTTTGCCAAGCAGACTTTTGTCAACAACAACAACAGCAACAACAACAGCAACAACAACAGCAACAACAACAGCAACAGCAACAATTGCATTCAGCTTCCAGTTTGCAGTTTCCACTCTCATCCTCCTACTGGATGCACTCTTCCTTCCAGGCGCAACTTGCAGTTTGAATTTTGTTTGTTTTCAGTTTGTGTTTTTTGTTTGTTTGTTTTTTGTTTTTTATTTTGGTTTTGTTATTTATTTTGTTTGTTGCCCGTTTTTGGTTTGGTTCATTGCAAATGCATTTTGCGCTGTATTTTTCCTGTTGCTTGTTGTTGTTGTTGCTTTTGGTATTTTGTGCATTCCTTTCGGCTGCGAACCGGTTTTTCCAGCAGCGTTGCCATTTTCGCTGCTAGAGCAGAGCAAAAAAAAAACGCAGAAAAAAAAGAAAAAAATGTTGTCCGGTTATTTCACATCGAGAAACCCGAATAACAAAATTTCAGCAGAACTCCTCAAAGCGCTTCTTCTTCTTCTTCTTCTTCTTCTTGCAACATTTTCGTCTTTTGTTTTGGTAGCAGTTTTTGCAGACTCCGACTCTCTCTCTCTCTCTCTCTCTCTCTCTCTCTCTCTCTCTCTCTCTTTCGCTCTCTCTCTCTCTCTGTTGCTCTCTTCAGCTGGTTGCATCCTGTCGAACCGGTTGAGGGTCAAGCGGCGCCCACATTCAAGGCGAACACGCTCCCATGCACCAACTATTGGCAGCGCTAGCATATTTATCGATATATTCTTCTGTTTTTTTTTGCTTCCCCTCCACCAAAAATATTTATACATTTTTTTTATTGAATTATTTGTTATGGATTTTGTGCAAAAAGTATTTGATTTTTAGGCGTTTATCAGGGTGTCATGGCAGGTTCGAGATCCACACGCATACATGCGTTCCACATCGAACTCGAACTCGAGCGCTGTTGCGCGCTAACAGCACAACAGTGTGCTAACAGACAGAGCGAGTTCGAGTCATGCTAAACAACAGAGCGAACGAGGCGCAGCAACACGAGCTGTTAACTGAATACGAACAGAAGCAAAAACAAAGCCGAAGAAGGCGGTCGTGCAACGGACGGTGCGGTTGAAATTCAATTGAATTCCATTGTGATTCTGAACAACGTTGTTTGTTGCTTTTGAACGAAACGAAAACGAATTCACTCGATGCATTTCTAAATGCCGGTCGCCCAAAACGCTCCACGCTTGTAAATCTAAATGTAAATGTAAATGTAAACCGGTTATTTTCTGCCACTCGCCTATTTTTTTTTTTTAATTTTTTTTATTGCTTGTTGGTTTGTTTGATATATATTTATGTGAATGCATATTTATATATTTCGAACCCAACACATTATTTATTTATTTACACCGATTTAAAGTGTGTGCCTGTGTGTGCGTTTGTGTGTGTGTTGACTCCCATGCGAAAAAAGAAGAAAATAAAATAGAGAAATTATTAAGAAAAACTTCGCACTTATCACAGGATCCATCGGGTAGATCGGAAACGGGAGCGTTGGAGCGGTAGCGCAAGCGGAAGCGGAAGCGGTACGCGTTCAATTAGCCTGCAAATCCATCAATCAAATATTGCCCCGTTGCACAAATTTTTTTTCGGGTGTGTGTGTGCCACAAATGAAATTCTGAAGTGCTTCTCCCTGCTGAAGAAAAGCAAAAGTGCAACAAAAATATATAATGTAAAAAAGGAAGAAAAAAAAAGAAATTTAAAAATAAATAGCAAAAATCAAGAATCAAGAAAAGCTGTGAGTTACAAGCAAAAATCTAAATAAAAATACAAGAAATAAGAAACAAAACAAAACAAACACACACAAACAGAAGAAGCTGCGAAATAACCAAAATCTAAGAAATATTGAAAAGAAGAAGAAGCAGTTACTGACAACCACAAAGCAGGGCAACGCAACGAACAGCGAACATAAAAGGTAAGCAATGAAATGCAATTTCTAACTGTTGTTGGCTGGTCAAATTCTACACTAAAATGCAGTCTACCTGTGCTCTTTGCATTCACTTCTGCTCGCAACTCAACTTGTATCTCGCTCTCGATCACGTCTCTCTCTCTGTGTGTGTTATTATCATTTACTCATTAGAATATATCAATGCTGCCACTGCTGCTGTTGTTGTTCTTTTTTTGTGTGTGGTTTTTGCTGCACCCTTTAAAATACAACACAACCACAACTGCAAGTTTTGTATATGTTGTGTGTGTGTGTGTGTTGTAATAGAACGTCAGGCCAATTATGCGCAATCCCCCTTCCCCTTCTCGCTAACTTCTTTTTTGCAGTTTTAGCTGAGCCAAGTGCATGACATTTTAATGGTCACGAGTGAAACAGAGTGAGAGAGAGAGAGAGAGAGGGAGAGGTGGCAAACGTTTGACATTGTTAAATGCCTGCCAGCCTCTGTCTTTGTGTGTCTGTGTGTGTGTGTGAGTTTTATAGGGAATGTTTAGCACGGGGTAGTTGGGTGGGAGGAGATTAAATTTAATGAGCTACATGAACAAAAAAACATGCAGTTCTTAGTGTTTTGCTTCTCTGGATACATTTTATACATTTGTCCAACATTTACATATTAATTATTATTATTATTGTTATTTCTACTTTTACTGGTGGAATTCCCTTAATTGAGTCGAATAAAAACGATTTGTGAAATGCATAATTTGAGCAAATTGAATTGTTGAACATTTCGGAATGTTGCGTGGAAACTTTGCCTACAGCTCAGTATTTGTTCTAAAATTAAATTTAGACACTTTTTTAATGTTGCCTTTTGCTAGGGTCTTTTTGTAGTTCTTCTTTCATAGCTGATGCTGAAGTTTTTCCATTGGGATTGCTTCAAATTGTTTAATTTTTCCATTTTTCACGATTGTCTTTGTAGTTGGTTGGTTGGTTTCTTCTCATCTTTTGCTCTCGCTTATCAATTATAATTTGCTCTCTGTCATTCACAAAATGTTGCAACATTTGCATCTGCAAATTACCGTTACTTCAGCTATCCATTTATAGAGATATGACAAAACGCAATAATACAAAAAAAATAAGTCCAAATTGAAAGCAAAAAACGAATACAAAAAACATCAGCTTTGCATATGTTCCGTTATGTTTTTTGTTCTCCCTCTCTCTCCTTCTTATTAGATACTTATGTTCAGCTGCCCATCATCCCCCCCTCTCCCTCCCCACCTTAGCTCAATTTCAACTGTGTTTTGTTTGTTTCTTTTTTTGTTCGCTTTTCTCTTCTTTGCTGGCGCTTAGCGACTAAAGACTCTTTATCCAACTTTTATTAGCAACTAAAAATTGCTCCACTTATGCCATTTGATATTGGCATTGAAAGCAAATGGGGTATATGCGACTGCTGCCGAAATCAGCTGTTCTCGATAAAATCGCTAAAATAATTGCAGATATATTTGCGTTAGATCAAATTAGTTCCCAAAGTTCAAAAAACTCCTCCATTCAAAATATCGTTCAAATATATGAAAAATATGAAATATTGCTTGTAATAGTTTAAAAGATCTTTGACAAAAACTCAATTGTTTTAAATTTGCTTCCTTAATATTCTCATAAACGAATCTAAAAACTAAATGTGATTAGATATGCAAGTAGTAACTGAAATAGTTGAGAGAGAGAGAGAGAAGGAGAGATACCTGAAACAAACTGTATCCTTTGCCTCACTTCTGTTGAGCAATTTGATGAAATGCGAGTCAACAGTTATGGAGAGGAGGAGTGAAGGAGGTGCAATAAGAGGAAGCAAACTGAATATCTACTGTTTGTTGTTTGCCTTTTGTATATGTGTGTGTGTGTGTGTGTGTGTCAGTTTGACCTTGAGTTTATCCTTTGCATGTTCAGAATGATTTCTTAATCAATGCGATTGGGAACCCAAAACGAGACAAGAACACCCTACACAGATAGAAAGAGAGGGAATAGATACAGAGATGGAGAGCAGGAGAGAGATTGCTGATCAAATCTGAACGGGGGCGAAAGGGTCGACAAATTGTTGTTTTTGTATGCTCCACAAAAGAACGACAAAAAAAAAGGAAGAGTTTCGTCATCTTCAACGCATCTGCTTCGTTTAACAATTGTCTCTTTCTCCCACTCCCACTCCCACACCCACTCTCCCTCTCTCTGTCTCTCTCTCTCTCTGTGTCTCTATCTCTATCTGATTGTGCCAATTCATCGCCAGACACTTGACCAACGCACTCTTATATTATATATATTTATTTGTTGTGTATTGTGCTCTCTCATTTTGATGACATAATAAGTTTTGTCATTGAATTGAAAACAAATCGCATCTGTTTCCGCTGCGCAATTAGCTAAGTCTAACTTAACTTAAATTAAGTTACGATTTTCTTCAAAATGCAAGTCAAGACTCAGTTTTCAAGTTGCGTCGAAATTGTGACACGAAAACAAATTGAATAACATCTTAGATCTACTGATGAATTAATTAATAATATTATAATGACTAGTTCAAATTATGAGATTTTCGCTCCGTTTAACACTTTGAATGAAAAGAATTCTAATTTATACGAACTGCACAGAAATTAATAGATTCGACTTTAAATTCTTCCCAGCAAAATAAAGTAAAAAATAAAAAAACAAACAAACTGAGCTTCAGTCATTTAAATGTATGAACAAAACGTTTTACAGCAAACCGACTTAGACTCACAAATGAATCGAATGAATGAATCCATGCATTATTACAAATTACAACTCAACTATTAAATTAAAGTGAAATCAATCTGACGAATTGAGGAATAGAATGGAATTCAGCACAATTGGGAAATTGAGGCGAATCGATTAAAAACTAGCCAGATGAATGCTGACTTGGGATTTAATTTAATTTTAGTAACTCTTTTTATTGTCTAGAGAGAGAGAGAGAGAGAGAGATAGGGAGAGCGAGAAAACGTTCGCTGGCATTTTAGGGTATCTTAAAGTCGACTTCGCTGAGTGTATTTTAAAGTTTCGTTACGCTTTTGTGGGCAAGTCTCATTAAATTAGCTTTTAAATTAATTTCGTTGACAAATTTTGCATGAATCTTTTATAAATGCCTTTGTGTGTTTTGTTTATTTGTTATTTAAACAAAAAAATAATATTAATAATAACAAAAAGTGATTGGCATTCAAAAGCAAATCTATCGATTAGCTAAATGGCCATATCAAAATATGCAGACGTGCTTATTAACACAATGATGATCACAATGATAATGATGATGATGATGATGTTGATGATGATGATGCTGCTGATGCTGATAATCATGTGGAAAAAATGAATCAGCGCCGCACGCGGGCTTAAAATGTCATCCATGTGAAATATCTCGGCAAAAGAACAACAAAAAATAAATAAAAAAAGCAGCAACAACAACAACAATAGCAAAAATGTAATAAAAAGAAGAAGATGCTGAAGACACACATATATATATATATATATATATATATATCTGTATGTACATATATAAAGTCCCGACCCCGGCAACAACACAAGAAATCACAGCGTTTAATCATTTAAAAGCATCTTTGTAAGCCAAGAGGCAAAAAAAAAGAAACCAAAGCAAAAAAAAGAAAAAAGTAAATATAGAAAACAAAACGCGACGAATGAACGTTCAAAAACAAGTGGCCAAAAAGCTGCGTCTTGATCTCAAACAAAATAAGACAAGAAGAAAAAAATGAAGACAAAAAACCAGCAGCAGCAGCAGCAGCAGCAGCAGCAGCAGCAGAAGCAATGCTTAAACACGGAAAGGGCAGTGGAATTGTAGCGGGGTGTGTGAGGGGGGGTGGGTTTGGGGGGTTTCGGTTTTAACAACAAAGAAAGTGTGCTCGATTTGTTATTGGGTGGGGAAAGATAGGGGCAGACAGGGAGAGAGGAAGCAAAAAAAAAAAAAAGGAAGCTGCCAGCGATTTGAGGTCAGCGAAGGCAAATGCGTCGCAATAGGCGCGTCGTCTGTCGTGTGTCGTGTGTTGTGTGTTGTGTGTCGTGCGAACCCAGCCCCCATCTCCCCCAACTCCAATCCCCCAGCGCCAGCTCTAGTCCTAGCTCTACCCCCAGCCCCAGCCCCAGCACCAGCACTACCCCCGGGCACAAAGTCACAATAACTTTTGCCACAGTTTAAGCCGCCCCTTGCCCATCTACGCTCCTCATTCCTTGCCACCCCCCACACCTCTCCCGTTCCAGTCTCTTACACTGGCTATCCGAAAAAAAACCCAAATTTCTTTTGCTTCTTGCCATTTTTGCTGCTTTTTTTGTGTTTCTTTTTTTACTGGCATTGCTCCTCGAATGCATTTTAATTCGATTGAGTATTTGAGCAGCTTTCTGTGCCGCCTTTCTGCGGCTTCTTCTTTTTTTTATATTTTTTGTTTTATTTTTATTTTTGGATACTCTTTTGAGTAGGCTGAGTAGAGTATATTGGTTGTTTCTCTCCAAATAATAATCATTCATATTAAATGGTTATGGTTTAAGTGTGACCAGTTTAATCAACCCATTGATTACTTAATTTTGAGTGCGTTTTATTTTTAATTAAGATAAATTTAAATGTTGAAGATGACCAATTGGATTATTTCTGAGTCATCGATTATTGAGAAGTTAAATCTTATAAATCTTGCATAGTCTTCAATTCTTTGCCGGGGAGATGTCAATTTGACATTTTAAATACTTCAAGGATTAGATGTAGTATTATTATTATAAATTACATTATTGTTCAGCATTAATAATTGAGTAGATATTTTGATCATTTATATAGCTGGCACACCATTAACATATTTATTCATAAACCTAATTAGTTCGAGTATTTTTTATTTGTTCTATATCTGCAAGGGTATATAAACTTCGGTCAAAAGCACAAATATATATATATTTTTTAAATTTTTTAGGTTTTTCTGTCTTTTTTTAGCGCTAAGAGCTTGGAAATTTTTGCAAGGCTAGCAAAAGTTGCAACTTTATTATGAAGTTGT